TAGAGAGAGAGTATTGTACATTAAATGACTGAAATCTAAAATAAATTTTTACATGGTATCATTTTGTTTTGTGTCAATCTCTTTGACTGCTATTGGTGGTTCATGTAAACATGTAGGATTTTATTCTATAAGTATAGGCTACATGTACTTCTCAAGGATTATTCATTTCACCGAGAAATGACGGAAGGACCGAGATGTTGGTTTATACAGAATTAATTTTAAGTGAACTCTGTAGGGAGCAATAAGCTTATAGGCACACTTTCGAATCCGTTCCTGGAACCAACCAGTATTTAGCAATGAGTGTGTCTTGCTCAATGGAACAACGACTTGCCCCTGACGTGGTTTGAACCCATGCACCTAGCGATCATTAGATTGCTAGTCTGGCGCGTTAACCACTCTGCCATGCCCCCCCCCACCCCCCACACATTCGATAATGTTGCAATTTCTTATCTCGTTTATGACTCAATACTGTTGATACTGTACCCTGTCGACTGTATTGCATTGTATTGTATATACGTGACATGCTATATTGGGATAATTTACTATATTTGAGCCGCGTCATGACACAACCAACATAGTGCGTTTGCGACCAGCATGGATCCAGACCAGCCTGCGCATCCGCGCAGTCTGATCAGGATCCATGCTGTTCGCTTACAGACCATATAACAAGTAAAGAAACTGATAGCGAACAGCATGGATTCTGATCAGACTGCGCGGATGCGCAGGCTGGTCTGGATCCATGCTGGTCGCAAACCCATTGTGTTGGTTTTGTCGTGACGCGGCTCATATATCATTTGAATTTGATGCACAGAAAACACTGGTTTTCTCAGAAGGTTTCTATTGACAATGGGTTTACTTACCATAGAATTGTATGCAATTCTGTCATTAATTTACTCATTTGTCTTATAAGATTTATCTTGGCTAATTTACGATTCATGGCAAAAGCATTTCTGAGATTTTTCGGTGGTCGGGTAAGTGCTCGGACTACGAACCATTTGCCTTTCATATTTGTTTGTGGATATAATGCCAGAAAATAATCTAGGATTTTATATTTGATGAAGATGTGGCCGGTTGCCCTCTTGAGGTTTTCCTTCACCATGCAGTAAAGGAGAAAAGTCAAAATATGTCGACCAATGAATAGACTACGTCCATGTTTAGCATTTACTTGTTTATTTTCACCCCTACTTGTTTGTGGTAATAACTAATTGAAACTGCTTGTTGACAGCGACTGAAAACTTGCGGCTTATTACATGCATATGATTCAAAGTTTCAAACATACAAAAGTTTATGTAACTGTATTTCCAGTAAAGATTGTATAAAGTATAAGGATGCACTTATTTACATGTATATGTTCTTGCTTGCTAAAGATCCAGCTTTAATGGAGCGGTGATCATATATTTGCCGTTGGTATGAAAGGTCTGCTTGGTAAATAATTCTTCTGACAAAGCTAAACTTTATACTGCCTGTCTAAAAGAATATTTCTTAACTTAAATAAATAAGACAAGTCAGTTGATGGGCGTAAACAATGAAGAAATAAAACCTAAATGTTCTCTTAAAGTGATTTTCTGTTTTATAAATCATTTACCTTTGGGCAAAAAAAGATAGAAATGTCTAAAGGAACCCATCAAAAGCCGTTTTAATTTTTTTTTCTTTAATCTATAACTTTCAAAGTTTAGGCCGCTAGGAATTGTTCTAAAAGTAATGTTCTACTTCTATATGTTTTACATGACAAGATATGTCTTAAATCTTCATTCAGAGACTTTCAATGTTTATGCAAAATTTCAATAACTTTATTTTTTAGGCCGCCAACTTCACGTAGCTTGGCTATAGGGCCGCTGTGCCGCCAACTTCAGGCAGTCAGGCCGTCATATTAACGCCGCTCGGCCGCCAACTTCACGCCGCTAGGTCGACAACACTGACTTATGATTTGGAGTTAAGCTTGAAATTTTATGATTTTTTTTTGTGAAGCAATTTTGAGCAATTTTTATTCTGCGCTAAATTCACCAATATGTCAAGACATTTTAGCCGTTGGCTGACTTGCATCAAATGAGAAATCTAGAGAACTTTTAGTGTTATTAAATCCTAAAAATACAAAATGTATCTATACGTTTTGATTATAGGATTTCTACAAATGTCGATTCTCCACAACGCATGTAGCTATTTCCAGTTTTTGATTGAAAAAATGAAGGTTACTAATGGGAAATTTTAGTATTTTACATTTTGATTTAAGTAAGAGCAGAGAATTTTCTTAAATTTTTCAACATGGTTGAAACAAATTAATGAAAAAATATCAAACATAAATTTTAATTCTAAGGAGGAGTTGCTAGGCACATTTTTGAGTTATCTACTCTTAAAGAAATGACATAAAAGATAATAAAGATCAGATATAATCGAAAGAAAGGGCGGTGACTCACAACTTTTTCATCAATTTGTTTCATTCATGATTATTTTATCAGGCTAAGTTTTAGACAATTATTTGCCCTTGTTTAAAGTTTCCTTATTTGCCTTTATAATTAAATACTAAAATTTTCAATCAGGGGCCTTCTGCCTTTAGATTTACGTGGGTCATTGAGTGTCAAAGCTTACCATTTTTCACTTTTCTTTTCTACCACTCATAATTATTTACCAAAATATTTATTAGTCGGTTCAATAATAACTTATATTGGTAGATCACGTGCTACAGACGCTGGAAGTGCATTAGTTTGTCAAATACTAACAGCGATAAATCTTCTCAGTAATAAAGTTTATTATATCTGTTTAGATATGAAAAATCAAAGATCGATAGTGTGAAAACTGGTTGGCACCAAATCATAAAATTTCGTGTTTCACTCCAAATCTTAAACCATTCATGTTCCAATCAGAGTGTGTTATATGCAAGTCTTGTATAAGTTTATGTAATCACATAAAATATCAGGAGAGGGCCGATTAAAACGGTAAAATGATATAAATCATGATATCATTTTCAATTGAAATGCTGCATCAATACTCTTTCTTTTTGAGATTGAAATTATATACCGGGCATAGAGAAAATTGTTCGCTTTGCACTGCTTCAATTCGTGTTGGAATTGGTTTTGAAACAAGAGAACTAGCATGAAAAATATGAATTTGTATTGGTTTGTTTTTGTGCCGCCATTCAACCCCGGATCTTTTCTGATGGTGATGGCCACCCTGTATACTGAATAAACTTTGAAAACAGTAACATTTTATTGATATCTCCTTGACATGTTCACCAATCATACAAAAAAATCAATTTAAAATGTATTTTGTATCTTATAGGTTTACATGTTATTACTCTGTTATGTTATTTGTCAAATTTAATTGAAACGTCAGCTACCAAGAATAATTATATGTTTCTTTATAACATAACTGACAATATTGATTAATTAAACAAAAATGCAAAGTATATATTTTTTTAAATTAAAATAATGGAACTTTAAAATATCAGAAGAATATGATTCAACTCATGTTTTTAGATAGTATTTTAGAAAAGGAAATTAAGAATCGGTACACACATATTATATTATATACGTCTTAAATTAAACTAATGTTGTTATGAAGTTAAGGACACATTTATTTCCGAAAAGCCGTGAACGCAGTTGATAATTGGTCATAAACAATTTGTAGTCATATGTTCATATAGTTAAAATGTGCAATTGCCCTATAAAGTTTACAAACCAGCAGAAATGTTTAGGTAGGTAGACCTGTAGCCTACGCTTTCCGCCCTTTCAGTCAAATCGCTGTTGAGTACGGGACCCTGGTCACTGTTCATGCCCTTAAACTTTAAAGCGATGACAGTATATTGCATTGATAAGAGTTGCCTATCTGCCACAATGTTAAAATGCCCGGAAAAAATTATTTTATATTCCAATTTAGAAGTAATATTTTTCGCTGAAATATTTTGAAATCATTAAAGAATTAATTTTTCTTGACATTTATGGTGTTCTAACCACAATCAGTTGAATCTATGTTGATGAAAAAGACGTTTAAACTTTGTCATTTTCTTGTACATTCCGTCTTTTGAGCCATTTTGACAGGTGCGCTCATAAATAGGTCACGTAAGCAAAATATGTAAAAAAATACTTTTGCGCTGTTCTAAATAATTTTTTTTATTTATATTATCTAAATAAGTTTTATTGTACAACTATGTATGATTAAATCTCATTGCGTCATTTGATTTCATTTCTTTTCAAGGTAAGAAATGATTAACACTTAAACATGGAACATTTGTAGATAATATGAGCCGTGTCATGACAAAACCAACATAATGGGTTTGCGACCAGCATGGATCCAGACCAGCCTGCGCATCCGAACAGCATGGATCCTGATCAGACTGCGCGGATGCGCAGGCTGGTCTGAATCCATGCTGGTCGCAAACCCACTATGTTGGTTTTGTCGCGACGCGGCTCATATCTTATCTCCTTGCAGTGGGCTCCTTTAAAGCATTATCATGCAATGGAAGTTATTCTGTTTAAGTAAACATATTACACTTGTTTGATTGTATTTAGCTTGATACCATTTCCAAACAAAATTTGTAGAGTGTCTATAACACAAAACTTTTCCAGAGAATTTCACATAGAATTAAGTTACAAACAATACATAAGTCAATCGGGGAATTTCATTGAGCGTTATTTGTTTAGAAAAATAAGGCTTTATAAATTAATGTTAGGAGCATTTTTGATAAATTAATATTAAAATAAGGTTTAAACATCACTGCAAGAAGGGCTATTCCAATAGAACCCTGCTTTAAATCATGAGCAATCAAACATCCCTAGTGCTCTCGAAAATACCGGACAAGTCATCTAAGTATTTAATGTACCAAATTAGTACATTGATTTGTTTGCAATTAGTGGGGGTCTATTTATTTCTGCTGACGTTTGAATGTATGAAATAATTTGGTAATAAATGCAGACGAGCTCTATCTAGTGCATTATGAGTATTACATCATGTCTTTTATCCAAAGCCTTATAGGCACATTTTAGCCTGTTGAAATCGATTTCCCGCGCAATACTTTCTTGGCAGACGACCAGAGTGTCAATTATGATTTGGCTTAAATGTGTCTTGCGCTGTTAGATTCTTGCAGGGAAAACTGATTTTCTACATTTTTTTTCAAATGACGGTGGATATTTGCCGTGCATGTTGAAGATTGAAATTTGTGGTTTGGCGGAGAAATATTAAATGTAAGTATTCATTGATATGTAAGTTTCTTTATTTATATTCATTTCAAACCTTTATGTTTTGGATTGTTCTTTTTTTAGTATTTTAAAATGTAAATATGGTCATATTAAAATGTTCGTACAAACGAGAAAGAAACATTTTCGTATAACTAAATATTCATCTATGTATAGGAAATTATCATATTTTGTAAAAAAATTATCTTTTTTCACGGTTATACAAATTGATTTTAGTTCGATTGTGTTGGAAGCTATAAGCTTATTGAAACACTCTCGAATCCGTTCCGTGAACCAACCAGTGTAAGCAATGAGTGTAAAGTTTCTTGCTTAAGGAAAGCAAAGATTTCTGTCGGTTTTACAGTGTAAGATGACGCATCGCGAACTTTCAATATAATTATATGCATTCTTATATTCTCAAAATGGTCATACTGTGCGTCTTTGTTTGTGATGAATTTATTTGTCTGTTGCTGTCTGCGACGCTTACTATATTCATTACTATTTGTCGGACGAAATAGTGCATTTTTAAAGTACGACTTTGTTTAAACATTTTATTGTGTTAACTATAAATGTATAATACGCATAGTGAAATGTAAAAATGTAAATATTACATGTACATTTTGTATGACCAAATGAATTTGACCAGATATGGACTGAATCCAATTATCATGTTAAGGAAGAAAGCCAACTACTAATGGCACTAATAGAAATTTTAGTATTTTTTTTTGCAATTGATATAAGTAAAAGCAGAGAATTTTCTTAAATTTTGCATCATGACTATACCAAATGATGATAAGAAAAACAGGGTGTCACCATCGTGTAAATATGAAATTATGTGAAACCAACTAAATTTATGAAAACCGTTAGTCACGCAATACAACCAAGATATGAAAAGAAAGAACATAATAACTCCTTTCTCTAAACATCTGTATAGTATTCTGATTATATTAAATATTGTGTTGAATATTATAAGACAATTTTCATGTTCGAGACGGCCTCTATATCGTTGATTTAGTTTGGGAGGGAAAAGAATGTTAAATGACCAGACAGTCTGGCATTTCCAATTTGTTTCTATTATCTACAGAATGGCCTTAGCAAATAAGGAGACATAACCAAGCAAATAGATGGACATAAACATTTCTTAAATATCTGATAATGCAACCATTGCGTCCATTTAGACAAGTCATTTATTAACTTAGAAAGAATTTCAATATGTTCTTTTATATCAAATATACTCTGTTTGACCGCTATGCTTTGTCCATTAAATGTTTATATAATGCAAGAGTTTTATTTAGATTTGTCACATAAATGTTAACCTTCAGACTCTCCTTATTTAGGATTACAGAATAGATGAAGTGTAAGGACATGATGAAATTGTGAAATCAGTTCTAAAGCTTAATAATATTTACGTCGTTAATTATATCATACATTTACTATGTTGACACAGAATCGGGATCGGTTTAGAGGAGATGTAACAGAGGAAGGGCACCAATTAAATTTGTTAACGTGCTATTTTTCCTTTCTACAGTAACAAAACCACTAGGTGTCTCTGTTTCCCGCAATGTATGCAAGATATGCAAAAATATGTAACGAAAACTAACAAATTTTTACTTCTGGTACCATATCTGATCACGCAATTTTTATAACGATATAACAAAATTGTTACATTTTGTAAGCTATGTTCAAATTCCTTGTGGTACTGTCAATGTCGCGGTGTTATATCTTGAATCTTACAATACTGTAAATGTTTTGGGTTTTGATTTTTGTCTTAACTATGTCAAATTTTAGAGAAATTTGTTCTACAACTATGTATGATTTTGAAGGAATTTCTTTTAATGATGAAAATGATTTGTCAGTATTTTTCGCAAAACTAAAGACATTTCGGAGAAATCTCTTTATTTGCCCTTAGTTAAAGAAATCTATTTAAAAGACATAGAGGATATTCATGTTTTTTCTAAAAATACATGATTTATTTTCATCGAGTGGTATGAAAATAAATATTTCATGAGTGGCGGTAGCCACGAGTGAAATATGGTAATTTTCATGCCACAAGATGAAAATAAATCATGTATTTATAGAAAAAATTTGAATTTTCTGTTTATTATATACATTTTTCTCTTTTTTGACATTAAAATTTAAAAGACTTTCCCTACTGGCAGAATTTAAAAGAAACACCAGTGAAAATACGGAAAATATGTTTCACTGCAGTGAAAAATAAATTTTTACAGTGAAAATACGGAAAATGAAAATATGCATTTTATTTCATCAATATTTCTCAATATTTCATTTATAAGTATATAATAAAATATTTTATTTATAGAAATTTATTTAAAAGACAATATATAATGATATATCAATTCACAGGAGGTTAATTTATATCATTATCAACAATTTTAAAAAGAAAATCTTAATACTTAAAGAGCAGACAGTTTTACAACTAAGCCTCTACTACATTCATGCTATCAACATTTCCTTTTTCTGTGATTTTCAATTTTTCTGACAGATAGTTTTTATCGTTTCTTCTAAATATTTTGTTTATTTCTTTGCACTGCGCTCTAGAATTGCTATCCTATGTTTCGATATATAACAACATTTGAATATCTGTGTATTCGAAAGAGGTCCGATATGGACGGAAGGAGTAAGGGGTAAGACATTTTGATATTAGACAGGTTTCGCGTGAAACGCCGTCAACTCTTTAATGATGTCATGAATATTCATTGACAAAATAAAAAAACACACGTTTGTCATTAGTTACAGAGCCAGAACGTCATGAAATCACATAAATGACTGTAGACTTTATAGTTTTGCTCAGCAATTTGCATTCTGACATTTTCCATAGATTGACAATCGGAAATTATATATCCCTTTGCGGCGGAGAAGTGTTGATAAATTTTTGGCCAGCCGTCAGGAAGCCGTAGACATACTTATTTGTTCCCCGAGAAATATTCAACAAATATTGATTATAGCTGAAGTCAATTTGCAACGAGTTATTTCCGTAATGTAATAATAACACGCACGTCGGTATTAAACTTTTCCAAAATGTTCAGTAAAAGATGAATTCAAACAATTTACTGGACGCAAAATTCAATTTAAGTTCAATTATAAGCATCATATATGACATATGACTGACGTGTCTGATTGAAGTCACGTTGATCAATTTCACTAGAACGACGGTATCATCATCCGTATCATCATAATCATCGTCAACATCATTATCATTATAATCATCGTCAACATCATTTTCATCATAATCATCGTCAACATCATTTTCATCATAATCATCGTCAACATCATTTTCATCATAATCATCGTCAACATCATTTTCATCATAATCATCGTCAACATCATTGTCATCATAATCATCGTCAACATCATTGTCATCATAATCATCGTCAACATCATTTTCATCATAATCATCGTCAACATCATTTTCATCATAATTATCGTCAACATCATTGTCATCAAAATCATCGTCAACATCATTGTCATCATAATCATCGTCAACATCATTTTCATCATAATCATCGTCAACATCATTATCATTATAATCATCATCAACATCATTGTCATCAAAACCATCGTCAACATTATTGTCATTATGGATGGAGGTTCTTACAGAATATTTAATTATATCAGCACAAATTCAGATAAACATAGATAAATTAATCAGTTTTACACCCCGAAATGGTTAATTTTCAATAAACTTACAGATTTATCAAATTGTATGCAAATATGAAAAAGTCTACCGCGTACCCCCAAGTAATATACAATAGCAGTTTAAAATCAGATGGTCATAAGTTGCAATTTTCGTAACATTTTTAAATAGAGAAAAAACGGAATTCCTAAATTACGCCCAAAACGACAAAATTAAAAAAAAACTATTATGTCTTCCTACTTTAGAAAAATGCAAGCATATGTTTTATAATGTTTGAATAATTGATTTAGAGTAATGTTAATCACTTAATGAAATTAGCGCTGAATGTGAAATAATTTGTCATGGAAGTAAAAACATGTATTTGACTTCCGTACAAAATACTAAATCACAATAATTGTACTACTATCTACTAAAATAAAAATATAATAAAAGCAAAGGATGGTAAAGCATTAACTTAATAATTCAAAGCTAAATGAGTTACTTTTAGTAGATTTGAAACCAACCCAAAACGTTTTGAAGAAATAAAATGAAAGTATTTTAAATTGGGGCTTTATGTGCCTTTATCAGCATTACAGTTAGAACAAGCAACTGCTTATATTGTGTCGTATTTTAACCGTAAGAATGTTTGTCAATGGTGCAGAATAAGTAAATCCTTTTGAATAATGCATTAAATGAGAATACAATTAAGTAAACTATATACTTCTATAAAGTGCACGAAGTTATGACAACTTAATACATTTGTTTTCCCTTACTACATTAGAGACATGCATTAATGATGTAATTGTCTCAAAGCGCAGACACGGTTATGTTTACAATTTTGGGAGAGATGGAAACAAAACACTTCAGAAACCATGGAAACATATTTTTTGTTCCTAGGAAATATTCAACAAATATGGTCGGGCTATTGATTTTACAACAAGAAATCACGCAGTCAATCTTCCACACACTGGGAGGTTTGTCGCCCCAAGATATATGTTTGATATACGTAACATTTCACGAAAAGGTTTAGAAAACAATAATTCAAGCGTTTTAAAAACTTTAGATAGCTCATGTTCAAGAAATAATGAATACTGCACGAGTGTGATCGCCCCCACGTATGAAAAACTCATCTCATCTAACATATATGTAACATCCTTGGCCATATTATTTACAGCTTATTGTTCAGTGTTTTTTTTATAAATTTCTTTCAAATTTCTTCTCTCTTATCTTCGAGGGTGTGATTGGGGTGGTATTTGAGATTTGTTTTTGCTTCTTTCGTAAAACTTCTTGTTTGTGATATGTGCTCATCATTGAAACTGTTCTTTTTCACAATAGAAAGGATACTGATAAACAAAAAAAAAAGAACTTGATGAAGACAAATAATTGAGCCGCGTCATGACAAAACCAACATAATGGGTTTGCGATAATAACATTAGTTTAATTTAAGGCATATACAATGTATAACTTGACAGTTCGTAACTACAATATGTATGTACCGATTCTTAATTTCCTTTTCTAAAATACTGTCTAAAACATGAGTTGAATAATATTCTTCTGATATTTTAAAGTTCCATTATTTTAATTAAAAAAATATATATACTTTGCATTTTTGTTTAATCAATCAATATTGTCAGTTATGTTATAAAGAAACATATAATTATTGTTGGTAGCTGACGTTTCAATTAAATTTGAAAAATTACATAACAGAGTAATAACGTGTTAACCTATAGAATACGTAATACATTTTAAATTGATTTTTTTTGTATGATTGGTGAACATGTCAATCGTCGCCAAGGAGATATCAATAAAATGTTACTGTTTTCAAAGTTTATTCAGTATACTGGGTGGCCATCACACGTGACCTGTGACATCAGAAAAGATCCAGGGTTGAATGGCGACACAAAAACAAACCAATACAAATTCATATTTTTCATGCTAATTTCAATACGAATTGAAGCAGTGCAAGCGAACTATTTTCTGTTACCCCGGTACCATAATTTCAATCTCAAAGAGACGTATTGATGCAGGATTTCAATTGAAAATGATGATCATGATTTATAAGAGCCGTGCCATGACAAAACCAACATAATGGGTTTGCGACCAGTATGGATCCAGACCAGCCTGCGCTTCCGTGCTGTTCGCTTACAAACTCTATGACAAGTAGAGAAACTGATAGCGAACAGCATGGATCCTGATCAGACTGCGCGGATGCGCAGGCTGGTCTGGATCCATGCTGGTCGCAAACCCATTACGTTGGTTTTGTCGTGACGTGGCTCATATATTGAAAAAAGTATAAATCTTCTTTAAACAACATTGTGATACAGTACAATTATACATCTAAATTCTATTTTTTTGCAGAAAAAGATTCCAGATTCCTATAAGCCAACGGCAAAGATCCGCCATTTTGCTATGATTCTGTGATAATATTGAGTAAAACACACAAAAAGACGTCTTCCTGGGAGATCTGATCTTTAGTATTCCAAATCATTATCTATACCAGACGATAACGAAAAGAAGGTACGTACATTCGTATGAGGATGTAGTGACGGAAACGGCTTCATGATTCAGTATTTGATTTGTTTTTTAGGGCTTATAACATAAAATTATTTCTTGTTCGACATACTATAATGTGAACGATATTGCTCCAAAACACTTAAAAGTACAAATTTCCTAATTTAAAGGTGAATTGATTCAAGATTACATTAAGTAGTCTTAAAATGAAACAATAACTGTGGCATATAGAATTTCTATCCGTCTGGCGCCCGACATAGTGGTAGGAATTGGGAGGTACATGATATGCAAGCAAAAGGTGTCTCATAAGTCAAAAATGGCTGGCCGTTTGAGTAGGGGTGACACTATAATAAACAAGACCTTTACCTTTTATAAAAAAACAAATAGCTCTGTATTGCATTATAACTGAACATCTTATTCGTAACATGTTTATAGTAATGCGAAAGTGTAGTTATTTAAAAAATGTTAAAAAATGATAAAAGATGGGGTAACCACAATAAACATTTTTTAAGTATTTTTTTTATATTTTAATGTCAAATACGTATAAAATCAAGCTTATATCTAAAGGCATAGACTCGTGATTATATTTGCTGTTAATTTTTTTCTATATGTCATTGTGCTATAGGCTCCAGTACTTATAGTATTTGGACAACAGTTATTGTTGAAGTCGGTGCAAGGGAGCGTTAACTATGCTATACTTTTCAATATCTTTCCTGAACAGACTCAACCAAGTAGTCAACACTTGTCACAGATACTGATCTGCGTCCATCTGAACCGAATGCAAATTTGCCAATATGCAAGCAGTATGCGGCAATATTCAATCTCATTTACAAAAAAAATGAGGCAAAAAATATCTATGAAGATTAAAACATTTCATAATTTCTTCACAGATGCGGTTTTACTTGGTGGCAATATTGTCCATGGGACTGGTTCTGCTTCTTACTTTAGGTAAAGTATCAACTGCAGATGCTGAGCCAAGTACCAGTCCAGAACCGGAAGTGGAAGAAAAAGGGGACGCCAAAGAAGATGCCGGAAGTGAAAATAAGCCGGAACCAAGTGAAGGTGACAAAATGTTGAGCTAGAATTATATATTTTGATATGTCAATAAAAAATAACAGTTTTTGCAGATAACCTGATGTAGTTCTTTATGTAATTACGTTTTCTTCGCAGATAAACAATGTCTGGTCTTTGTCATGGCAACAAGTCCTGACAGTTAGTAAGCTAATTCATGCATGGCATTGGACAAATGATAAAATACAAAGTTGGTTGCAACAATCTTTTTTATTTTTATTTATCAAGAGCACGATGATGCAGCTTATCAGATCACATGTTATTAGTATTAGATTGTCTAATTTCCAGATTTAGATATTAGATATATCTAAAATCTAAATTAACCAAACATTGCTTCCCAAAAACGGTAACGATTTTTTTTTAGTCAGTTTGTTACCCATAAAAAAAAGATGATGAATTTGCCTGTATACTTTCAGAACCAAAAGCAACTACTAAATCACCGGAAAATGGAGGTGGTTTGATTGTTATGTCAACATTGTCGCTTTTTTCAACACTAGTAGTAGCCAGATTACTGGTGTGATTATTTATACTAAGAGGACTGCAAGTGTACATGTCGTAAGTTAAAGTTATATATAGTATATATAGTAGTTATACAAACATTTGAATTATCTGAAATTGTTCCGATAAACCTGTGAGGGATCAATTCTTTTTTATCTTCGGTCTGCTATCATATAATTATGCATAGCATATTTATAAAGACTTTGCTCTCATTTTGTAAATTTTCTCGCAAAAGTATTATTTGAGAAAGGTCAATGTTTCAATATTCTGAAACTTATATAACACCTGCTTACATTAGAACGAGACAACATTTCTAATCATTAAAAGCAATCAGTTATTTTTCCTGAATATACACGTTTGGTTTAAAACCATTTACAGTAAATGTAGTAGACACATTTAAATGTTTATGTTATCTTTTTTTCAGATATAAATTCAAACTGATTATTTATTTATTCCCTACAATGTTTCTGATTTCAGACATGCTATCGTCTGCGTTGCAATGGATTCTTATCATGTTGAAAAATCACGAAAAGTCGTGCTCATATTTAAACTGTCTCGAATGACGCTTTAAGCAGATAGCGAGACGTGGCTTTTTTGATTTTATAATGTGATCACGGAAAGATTGTACAAATTGTACAAGACAAACATTTTGCAGGAGAACTGATTTGTTTCTATTACGCAGATGATGCAGATGAAGATTTTTTTGTTGTTTTACGTTCTGAATAATTTTGTTGTTGAATTAATATTGTCTCATTTATTCGTATAGATATTTCTCAGTGTAAAAAAGTAAAAAAAGAAATGAGTTGAAGTTGGAGTTTTTGAAGAAGGAGAAATACTTCATTGTAAAAGGAACTTAATGTTACAATCGTACGCAAAATCCACCATAAAGAATTCAAAATACATACAATATGAATTCAAAAAACAACTTTAAGACGACCAAAAACATTTTAGGGATGTTAAATAAAGGACAATTGATGTCAGAAAAAAACCTTTGAGCATTACAAGGAAAAACAAAAACAACAACATGTCCTTGAACTTGATAGTTTCTGTTAGTGATCAGACTTTTACATGGTACATTATAAATGTTTTAAACTACTGCCACATACATGTATAAATTCTTTCAGTGTTTAAAGTTTTATCTAACACATTATTCGTTCATACAAATAATTATTCGAAATGATTCATTTAGGTTTCGAAAAACAGTTGAGTAGTTTGTGTAGATAGATGATATCTTTTTCAAAGATTCTCTCGAACAAGAATACGTATTTTTAAATTTGAACGATAATATCTTTCAATTCAGTGATATTCAACACTGTTGCATTATTGCATCTCTAACTCAAACGAAGCTGTTGTTTTAAAGATGACTTTTATATTCAAATCGGACGGATATATCTGCTGTATGATTCCTCTCTTACAGTCGCTATAATGCCACTGTCTCCATACATTGTATGACTAACTAACTATCTTAAATGACACCATGTCTCTTTATATTTGTATCTTTAGTGCAGAAATTATAAAAAAAAATGTGAGTGTTATCGAGACCAATGTCTTAGCAGGACATAAAAGTTTATTTAGAGGTAATTAAAAAAATGTATATTAAAATGGTAATTACGGAGAAAATAATTTATACAACTACCAAACACCACTTGAAAATCGTTGTTAAATAGTGACTTATTTTGGAGTCAATGAAATAATATTCAGAAGATTTGCATGGTCAGTTACAAATGCTGCTCTTTTGACATCTGTTTATACAATCATCTGTTATGTATTCACCTGTTAACATCAGCTGAATTGTATTTAAAATCGCCATGGTGACACGATTATAAGAACAACGTTTGACACATTATAATTTATAGTAAAATGTGAAGGAAGATACAGAGTTTTTGTGCCACTGTTGCATAACTTCGAGTATTAATCTTCAGTCTGTGTGCTTAAACTTGTTTCACATGCACAAATAAATTTGAATTAACCCTCAATTCATTTAGGTTTGAAGCTGCAATATATTTGTGAAGACAATTTAATGTTGACTTAACCCATTACTTCTTATAAACGTCTTTTCAGGCCCTTTTATCGCCCACACTCAACACTTTTTGAGGCCTCAAATAGTGAAAATAAATACCGTATTTAGACCGCAAACACATGTTTTCATTTGAGAAATGGTGTTAATAAAGTGATCACTTTTTCTGTGCCATCCCCTATCAAATAGATACATCAAGGGGGTACCAGAGGGGGTGTGCCCCCTTCTGTTTGCATTTTGAAGGGGGTCGACAGGAGGCTTTTCAATGAAAACAAATTGCTCATGAAGTAATGGGTTAAAGATGAAAAAAAATGGGCATTCATGTTGTGGATTGCTCGCTAATCATTATTATAGTGATAGATATTTAATGACGAGATAAGAAAATAAAAAAAATATTTTAAACAAATGCATCTCTTACAAAGACACAATATTATAGTTCTTAAACCATGTCTTAAATCAACATGAATCGAATTAAACAAAAAGAGAGATATGGTTCATTATTTTGAATTTCATAGTTATAACATAATAACATATGATATTATACATCCATGAGGGCCTCTGACTTTGACGTGCGTTAAAGTAATGAACTTCGCTTGTTATAAAAATGTACATTGTTAACAAAATGTGTAATGATGCAACTTCTGCATGGTTTTTCAAAATGCATTTTAATCAATTTTAAGTGACAAAATAAATAAAATAAAAACGGACGCACACACGAACACACAAAAATAGCAGTTTAAAAAAAGCACATTCTTAATCTAATACTAACAGTGACGGAAATGCAATCAACCCTGTGCAAGAAGCATTTTTTTCAAGAACAAATTCAAAACAGGCAAATTAGTTTGATTATAATAATTGTAAAAGTACAAAAAGTCAAACAATATTTAAATGCATTGGTGGAATATATTTGGAGAGGCACTAAGTTACGATAGATAACGATATCTTATGTAAGCAACTATACATGTACAACTCAGAGTTCCTCCAATTTATGATTTCTTAACTACATGCGAGTCTAAAAACATGTATCGATATATATTTCGTATTGTGTAGAAAAATTTGGAATAATCTTATTTATTCAATATCCTAACCAAATCATGTATAATGAGAAAACGGAAAATGTGACTAAAAATACAAGAAACACCCAGAGTAATGTTGTTTTCGCGCTCTTTTTATACATGTACGAGTTGGACTTATGCGGTAATCCTGGTGGTACATGGTAAAAGGCATACGCACTTAACTGTCTAAAAATGATAAAGATAATTGTAATAACATTATTTTAGGCCATCACGTGGTACAATGAAAAGGCAGCGGGTGAATATAAATAATAAGTATATAATACATGTATGTATTGCAAAGCTTGATAATACATTGTACATGCATATTCATAAATAAAAAATAAGATAAAAAACTTTCTCAAACAGTTACGATGACTCAATATGTACAGAAAATAAATAATTATTACTAGATCTATAATTATGATATTAGCTTTTATATATTTTCTATTTGACATATCAGTTATTATACAGAGTATAAAGTTGGCCAACATATTGTACTGCGAGTGTCGTATTTTTTGTATGGCATAACCCGCCCTCTGACCAAAAACAAAAATATTTCAGAATATAGCATATTTTGAGAAGTTGACAATACATTTCTTTTTTTGATTATCAACTAATCAAGTATGAAACAGAAATGTTTTGATACCCTTTTCTAATTGACGATAAAAGGACCACTTCAAACGTATGTATATTTCATTTATATTCCTTGTGGAAGTATAAAATAAATCTGATCCGCAATAGCTTTAAAGTTATTGGCTAATAAAGTCCCTGTTGACGTAATAAGCTCATTTTATTCTGTAATTAAAGTGATAATTACATTTAAAAGGGTAACACTTTAGGAAGAGGAAAGATTTAAGATTTCAAAGAACCCCTTTTTCAGAAATGCACGCAAAAACAAAATATTTTGGATGTATTGACATACTAAAATTCATAATGCGGCATTAAATAAAATTAAATTGATTTAGAGGCTACTAAAACAGTTTGAATTGCAAGTTGACAACCAGAACAAGGGGAAAACTTTTCTCTTTGATAAGAGATTTAAAACTATTTTCAATTTCTTCTTTAGATTTTTGTCAAAACAACAAAAATAAAAACAATCACTTCTAGTAGATTATGGCTGTTTTAGCAGATGCTCTGTTTAATCGAAGGCACTAATGCTCTGTTCCTTTTATTGTTCTTTTTTATTTGTATTTATTAAAAGCATATTTTGCCTCAGAAACAAATCAAGTTTTACTTCTTTAGAATGGACAAAGAGGAATTTTATTAAATCCTAATAACGTTTAATAACGTTTAAATATTGGATTTAGACCATGTTGAATGCTTGTTACCTGAAGAAGGTAGCGCTAAATGTGAAATAAGTTGATATAAATTAGCAAAATGAAAAAAGTAGTATTTTCAATTCCTTACAAAATACTCGATCACTATAACTGTATTGAATGCCCAAAAGTCACAAAAATGGCTCAGGTAATTGGCCAATGAGTAACTTTGTTAAAACTGTAAAAGTACACCACAAATTAAAGGTTTTTGAGAAATAGAAATAAAAGCATTTCTGTGGCATAGTGGGCCTTTAAGGTAGACACGGACATTGATATGCATGTAAACATGACACGATTAAAATAAATTGTCTATAAGGAAATGTCATTTAAGGGATCAATGCATCAAGATATGCAGTCATAAGAATAATATGAATTTATTATCCGATTGTTGTTTACTTATTTATAAAAACGGTATTAAACAAGGGAATATAAACTCTCGTACTTATTTTATTACCTTTTGTTTCGGACAATACCTAAACAGCATCCCCTTTAAATAGGAGGGAGATTATGTCACACAACAAAGGTTTAATACAGTGTATTTTTGTCTGACAGTAATTCAAAACAATGATTAGTTTTATACATTCTATAATTCAAGCATTTTGGTGTTGAGTCGACCTCAACACGCCAGTACTGCACATAATGGTTACGAAATTGATATATTTAAATACTGTAACATTGAACATTTAGATGCTGTAAATTTCTGCTTTAACCACACATAACTCACACCAGTTTTGTCAACAAAAAAACTTTACTTTCATTTCATATTTGTACTCTTCACCAATGATAATGATCATCGGATATCCACGGCTGATGTAACCTTATAAATATTTGAGGACATTGTCGAATCTCTTTTGACAAAATTATGCCAATTACCTGCAATTCTTTTCTTTATGGTGATTTTTAGTAGGCAACGCCGAAGTTCGTCATAAACCATTGTATGAGATATACTTTTCTTGACATGTATTACATGGTTAAGAACGTCTGCACATTTTCTTTAAGCGATAAGTAACCAATAACCTAACCATATCCCCAAACTTCACACTCGTACGTTAGAATTGATACAGTTGTAATCGACTTTAATTGAAAGTCAATAGGTAAATCAACCTTATATTCATTAGACAAACATCGTTACCACACCGCGTATTGTCTGTTTTCAGAAAACCTTATACCAAGAAAGAAAAGTACGTTTCTCTGAAAAGTTAGGTCATTGCAACAACAAAAATACGAATTTGTTCATATAATTGACTTCGAGTAATCCGTTCTGTGTATTCTTACTATTTCATATGTTCGACGTTCTTACTCGAAGTTTGACGGAAGGAGCCGAGAAGATGGGATTGTAGAAAAAGTATTCATCACTGATATAAAATCTTCTTCAATCTTTGCAAAAAGAATAGTATCGTCAGCAAAACGT